CGCGGGTTCGAGTCTGAGGTGCAATTTTTTTAGTTTGGTACCCATTATTATTTTTATTTTATCGCATTTTATTGTTTAATAGGGTATATTTCATGATTCTAAATAATTTTTATCCCTTGAATTTATTGTATCTTCAACCGTATAATTTTGCGGCCGCTTTTGGTCTTTGCGACCGATTTTTACCAAATGTTTCGTGCTGCGTTCCCTTCCTAAAGGAAACTTACATACCAAATTTTAAGTTTTTAGCTCTTATCGTTCTCAAGATATGCTGTTTACAGATAGACAGACGGATACACACACACACACACACACACACGACACAATGGCCCAAACCAATTTTTTTGGTATCTTGAATTCGTTCAGAAATGTAAAAATCTGGGTCAAATTTTTAGGATAAGGAAAGTAATAATATACAGGTGTTTTTTTAATACTGCGAAAAATTGCAACCACGTACTCTATGTCAAAAAATTACACTAATTTATCAAATAAACCATAGTCTTACAAAGCTTCGTTAAGGATATACAGGGTGATAAAGTTTCATAATAAAAAAATATATACAAGGTGCACCAGAACTCGCACCCCAGAAAAACATGCCACGTTACCAGGAATATGGGGAAAATGTCGCGTGGTAGTTTGACATCCACAACTATTTCAAAACGCAGAAGGGCTAAGAAACTTACTAACAAAATATAGCAACACGTATTTATTATGAATTTCGTAGTAAAAATAAAAAGTCCGTCTTTGATAACTTATTTAAAAACCGTAAAATTTTAAGTCTTATTTTATGGATATTACTTAACAATGACAAATTTTGATAAAGATTTTCATTCCATGTTTAACTATACATATTTATACAAATTTTCATCCCTTATTTGACCCCCTTAGGGATAGAATTCTCCAAAATCTTGAAACACGTGCTATCTTGTTTTTAACTGAACACCCAAATAGATTTAACTTAAAAAAACGGATATTTTACGAAGTTTAACCCCCTTGTTCAACCCCCTTGAGGGTGAAATTTCCAAAAATCCTGAAACACTTAATACTTGATTTTTAATCGAAAGCCTAAATACAAATTTTCAAGGATTTAACTTTATAAATGACATATTTTAATACAAATTGTCATCTCTGTTTAACCCCCTAGAGGGTGGAATTTTCAAAAATCCTAAAACACGTTTTCTTCATTTTTAACCGAAAGCCCAAATCCCAATTTCCATAACTATAACTTCAAAAATGACGAATTTATAAATATTTATACAAATTTTCATCCCTTGTTGTGACCCCTTAGGGATAGAATTCTCCAAAATCTTGAAACACGTGCTATTTTGTTTTTAACTGAACACCCAAATACCAATTTTCATAGATTTAACTTAAAAAAAAACGGATATTTTACGAAGTTTTACACTTGTTCAACCCCCTTGAGGGTGAAATTTCCAAAAATCCACACGTATTACTTGATTTTTAATCGAAAGCCTAAATACAAATTTTCAAGGATTTAGCTTTATAAAAGACATATTTTAATACAAATTGTCCCTGTTTAACCCCCTAGAGGGTGGAATTTTCAAAAATCCTAAAACACGTGTTTCTTCATTTTTAACCGAAAGCCCAAATCCCAATTTAACATAAATATAACTTCAAAAATGATGAATTTATAAATATTTATACAAATTTTCATCCCTTGTCTGACCCCTTTGAGGATGAAATTTTCCGAAATCCTAAAACACGTGTTTTTTTGTTTTTAACTGAGAGCCCAAATACCAATTTTCATGAATTTAAGTTCAAAAAAAATACAAATATTTTACGACCTTTAACCCTTGTTCAACCCCCTTGGGGGTAAAATTTCCAAAAACGGTAAAATACGTATTTTTTTATTTTTAACCGAAAGCCTAAATACCAAATTTCATGGCTATAGCTATAACTTCGAATTCACCACCACATTTAACCTCCTTAGAGGTTGATTTTCCAAAAATCCTTTTTTATTGGATGCCTACGTTATAAAAGGTATCTACTGTAAAAATTTGAAATTTCTGTCACCAGCGGTGTAGGCTGTGGGTTAATAGGTCAGTCAGGACCTATAATAATAATAATAATAATAAGTATTAATTACATTGACAAAAAATGTCTAATGTCAAAAAATAAAGTCACAATTTTTTAAAATTTTTGAAACATTTTTTTTTATGTTTCTGGTGTCTTATCTTACTTGAAATTTTTCACTAATTCTGACACCCTGTACTTTTATTATTTTTTTGTTAGCGTAATTTTTCGATGTAGTTAGAATTTTTCGCAATATTAAGAAAACACCCTGTATTCTAATGTATTCTTCCGGCTTTATTATAACTTTTTCAATTTCATGAAAACAAAACGTTAAAGGTGAAGAATGCACAATAAGGCTCTAAAAATGCCAGTCATGTAAAAACTTGTGAAAAAGTTTACAACAACAACATATAATATTGATTTAGATTTTTACGAGGGAGTTGAAACACTACAACTAAATAAAAACTCATGTCATGATAATTTTTATGTTTGTATTTATTGATGTAGACACATAAAAGTTTCAGACATAATAAAAAGTCCTGTTGAATTGTTGACAGACAAAAATAATAAACTAAAAAATAGTATATCACATACCGAGTAAGAAAAAAAATAAAGCTTTCTTTTGAGGTTCGTATACTATTTTATTTCCAATCATGCAATGTTAAAAATAATTCCTGGTATAAAAACAAAAAAATTATAATAGCTGTCAACTATAAAAAATAGTCGATTTTGTGAAAAAAATATTACCTTCAATCCTTCTTTCAGTTAATTTCTTAATATTAGATATGTTGTGTGTCCGTGATTAAAACATTAGAAAGTAATTGCAAATAAAAAAATTTTGCACTCGCTACACTCATGCGTGCACTAATTTAAATGTAAATAAAACCGTTTTTTAGTGCGTGTTTTCCCTCGCTGTTTACAAAAGCGTCGCCTAGACGAATCCATTTGTTAGCAAGTTGAGAAATTTGTTTGAACGTTTTCGGTAGAGAATTTCGACATTGTTTGGACTAAAGACTCCGCAAACTCACGAGTAAAAATTGGAAACACACAAAACAGAAAACTGGAGGTGACTCGATGGCGATGTTGTGTTTTGTTAGCTTCTAGAGCAAGAAATTAATTAACTGTCGACGAAGGGTTTGAAAAACCAGCAAAACGATAAGGTTCATTTATCAACGAGTTTTCGCAAATTTAATGAAGAGTTTAAGATGATTCGGCAACGTTTATACGAAAAAGGAGATAATTATACGAGAAAAAATTAAAATTGTTCGAGATGAAACGTGTAATTAATCTTAATGTTAATAGCACGGGTGCAGTGGCTGAAATTTAGGACGATGAATGGAGTTTAATGAGCTTTTATTTCAAAAGCAGCGTTCTTTTTTACACAAAATCGTTTTTTCAATTTTTTTTTGTTTCTTTATTTCTCTTCTGAAGCTCCTGGTGTGGCGAATGAAATAATACACTATCTATTATTGTTTTTTTTAATTAATAATTTTTAATTCTTACTTTCTATTGGTAGCACTGAAATTACGTTATTTTTCTTTGAATTTTAAATTTTGCAATTTTTATGCGACCTCTAAATTATTTCTCATATTTTTTTACCGAACATCCTGTTTAAAAAATAATTAAAGAATAAACAATTGTTACTATCTACAAACATAATTAATTTATAATTTGACAATTTTTTTTTTACTTGTTACCGAAGCAGTGGCACAGCGAGGAGAGGGGTTTTGGGAGTTAAGCCCTGTTGTCATAACATCAAAAAATTCACAAATTTGTACTTTTTTTATTTTGTAAATTGCGCAAAACTGTACCTCAAACGTTATATTTTCGCATACATATGCAAAATGTTCCGAGAAATCGATTAGCGTCGAGAAAACTGCAAAATTTTTAGAAGTCATAGTTGAATTAATATTTTGGATATTTTTGCTTTTATAAGCATTTTTCTCGATAACTATTTAACGTAGGACAACTATCTTTTTTTATATACTATAACAAATTAAATTTGCTTTCCAACGGTACTAAACAAAAAGGATTAGTGTCAATAATTTCGAAGTTATTAGCAATAAACCGTTCCGAGTACCGAAAATCGCACAAAATTTCGACAAAAATCGCAAATATTAAAAATTTCAAAATTAAACCATTTGCACTCTTGAGGATTCAAAAAAAACAAAAACGTTGTAAAAATGCAAGAAATAAATTTTTGAATAATTTTGTTTATGAATATATTAAGTTAAAGTATTGAAACTGTCGGCGGCAACAATTTTTCTCTAATTCAAATTCAAATATAATTCAAATAAATGTTGAAAGATGGCGGGCGCATAAAAGCGCGAACTTTAAAACATGTGCATGTTCTAATAAGTATAATAAGAGGGAGAGAGAGAGAGCATAAGAGCAAAAAAAGACGTAAAGCATAATAAAAAAAGTACAGAGCAAAGAACAAATAAGTAAATAGCGTAAATAACTAACTCTGATAGCGACTCAAAGATGGCGCCAATTTTAAAACACAAATCCACTGTGTAAAAAAGTTAATAGTGTATAAGTTGACAAAAGGTAAGTTAAAAAATTTAAAGAGAAATGTAAATTTTGTAAGAAAAATTAAAGAAATATAATTTTTTATTAGTTATTATTATTACTAATAATTCAAATAAATGTTCAGAAGTGTACAAGTGAAGCAGATATAAGTAAACAAAAGGTAAGTAAAGTGAAATATGAAGTAAAAGTAACATAAAATGTGTAATAAAAATTATAAAAATAAATAAATTTTTTACATAGGTAATATATAAACTCTATTTTGATGTGCGCCACTGTATCAAAGTAAATTTCAATACTTCAACATTAATTGAACACCTTATCATTCCAATTTTTTACGTTTCACTGACGCAAATAAATAACCTCTGATAACACTATTTATTTTACTACATACTAATAATCTAGTAATCTAGCACACCATATTATGGTTATCTTATCACTGAAATCCCGCGTTACATAGAAAAACCAGTCACGAACAATATCTCAAAAATATGACCACAAAAAACTCGAAACCCAAAGTCCAAGAATTCCAGTTTCATTCAGTACCGAAAACCACAAAGTGGGAAAGTTTCCAGAGAGTAATTTATGACCCTTCCAAAAACGAATATTTTGGACGAACTGGAAAAAGTTGGTATCAGTTACTAATTTTTTACTCGATTTTCTACACATGTCTTGCTGCTCTTGTCGCAATTTGCATGAAAGGTTTAACTGCAACACTGAACGACAAAGAACCGAAATGGAAACTCGAGGAAAGCCTAATTGGGACAAATCCAGGCCTAGGTTTTCGCCCAATTTCAAACAACACTCTTGAAGGTTCCCTCATTTGGTACAATTTGAGACAACCCGAAACAACACAAAAGTGGGTACAACTCGTGGATGAGTTTTTACAACCTTATCGAGTACCACAAATCGGTCAGAATTACCAACATTGCGACTATGAAATACCGGTGAAAGAAGGTCACGTGTGTGCCGTGGAAGTGGACAAATTTGGGCCATGCACAGCGGAAAATAACTACGGGTTCAATTCGACTTCGCCTTGTGTTTTTCTCAAACTCAACAGGATTTTTGGTTGGGTTCCTGATTATATAGAACACCCGGAAAATGACATGCCTGATGATTTGAAACAAACTATTACTTCCAGTGATGAAAATCAAGTGTGGATAAGTTGTGCCGGAGAAAATTCGTTTGATAGAGAACATGTTATTGGGTTCAATTATTTTCCCAGTAGGGGGTTCCCCGGATACTATTATCCTTACACAAATAACGATAATTATCTTAGTCCACTTATTGCTGTACAAATCAGTCTTAAAACTAATGTTATTGTCAATATAGAATGTAGGGCTTGGGCCAAAAATATTGTCTACAATGGGGCCAATAACTATCGACAAGGATCCGTACATTTTGAAATTATGGTGGACTCCAAAAATAATTAGTTGTGGAAATAAAATTACTAAATAGTGGAGTTTGATTTTTAATTTAGGTTTCAAATAGTATATTATAATACTAGTTTATAAGCAAGCCTTTAAAACACGCACGACGCGTCAGCGGAGTGCTTTTAACGTCGTAAGTGCTATTTTTTATTATTCCTGCCCATTTAACAATCTTTTATGAGCATTGAAAAAATGTGAATTTACACAATAAAATTATCAAAGGTTGTTTGTGAATTGTTTTCGTATAGACGGTTACTAGTTTACGTTGTTAAGCACATTTTTTCACGTTGTAATTGGTCCAGACATTTCACTATTTCTTGTTACCTAGACAACTTTAAAATTTCAGCGTGCTATAAAGGCCAAATTATGCACGCTGCAACGTGTTTTAATTTAGGATTATGATGCAGGTATAATAAAAAATATTTTTTATTAAAAAAAAGTTGAAAATCTATTTTTTTACATAACAGAACAATTGAGAATCAAAAAATATTTTCTATTATGAAACAGAAAAAGTATCATATCTAATTTTCTTTCCCTCATTTTTAAACCACGAATCATATTCTTACAAAACAACTTACAAAATTAACAATAGTAAATTATATACCAAGATGAGAAGTGCTTCATTACCGAGGTGCAATGAAGCAACGACCACAAAGGTCTATTTTCATCATAGTCATCTTTTTAAACAAGAGAAAGTTAATAAAAAAAATATCGAATTTTTAAAAACATGAGATTTGATAGTTCAGGTTGAGAAATGGTCACTTTGTTATCACTTTTCGAGTTGGGAAGTGTACATTTTCGACCTGAACCTGATATTTCATATCAGTTGTTAAATGAAGTTGAAATGTCATACTTTTCAACTTTTCACATGCGAGGTTATTTGATTATTACTTTATTTATTTTAAATTTATTTTAAATAAGATAGTAATAAAGCGATCAGTTATTAATTCAATTTTGGTCAGTATAAAATCATAAAGTAAAGCAAGCACAGTATTTTATTGTAATTTGTTCAGTAAAAAATCCAATTTACACGGTTAAAATAATAAACGCTCAGTAACTTTAATCAAAATTAGTAAAACAACTTAAAATTTAAAGAATTTTTAGTCTTGGTTATATAACAATGTATAGCCCCTGCCCAAAAACGTTATTCATTATTACTGTGCATTTATTATTTTATTGTGCATTAATTATTTTTACTGTGCATTTATTATTTTACTGCGCATTTATTATTTTTACTGATCAAAAATACTTGTCGTTTAAATAAAATAACTGTACGTTTAATTGAATTTAATTTTCCCTTTTAAATACATAAAAAGATATACAGGATGTTCCAGCGAGTTGGTAAAGTCCACTAATGACCTTTAATAGTTGAAATTAAAAAAAAATTATACAGAAAATTGGTAAATACTAAACTAGTGCATCGCCTGAAATTATTTTCAACTCTACAGTGTGTACCAAAAATAAGTTACAACGCAATGTTTTTTTTTAATGAAACAATATACCAGGTGAATAAAAAGTATGGAACCAAACGTATTTTGTTTGAACTATTTATTTTTTGGAAAAACTAATTGATGAGTGATAAAGTACTATAAAAATGTGATGATTTAACAAGAATAAAATTTTTCGAAATTTGCTTTTGTTTTTGAGTTCTACAAAAAAAAATTTTTTAAATGGCAACCCACTATAAAATCATTTTTCTCATAAAAGCTATACTCTAAGGATTACAACTACCTGCTTTATATTTAATTTTTTCAAAAAATTTTTTTCACATAAATTGCAATTTTGACAAAAATAAATCGCATAACTCAAAAACAAAACAAAATTTTGTTCTGAAAATACGATCAGATTTTTTATATTACTTTAATTTATATTAATTATTATTTTCTGGAGGCAAATGATTAAAAATAAAACCGCTTGGTTCCATACTTTTCACCCTGTATATGTTTCATGGCTTTTCTCAATGTAGCTTTTTATTACAATGTTTTTAAGCTTAGTTTTTAAAATATGTTAGCTTCTTTGACGAAAACATACTCTTAAAAAAGTACAGTAAAACTAAGACAACTAGATTTTTTTAAATGACAAGAAAAAAATTCAAACTTTAAGACTATTTGTGCAAGTGTGCATTTGTACAGATAAAAAATATTGAAGAAGTTTGTTAAAAGTTAAATAACTTAAAAAAAATTAAATGGGACTAAGAGCTTATTAAGGGCGAGTTTTATAATCGAATTAAAGAAACTTTAAAGTTAATGTTAGTTTAGAATGTACAATTTTTGTAAATCGAATTAAATTTAAAAGAGCATTAAATTAAATGTTGTTTAGAATGTACTGATTATTACAGATTAGTTGAAAAAAATTTCATATTCTAAGCCAACATTAACTTTAAAGTCCGTTTAATTCGATTATGAAACTAGCCCTTAATTATTTTTTTAAAAACATTTACCTTTAAGTGTCTACAAGTAATAACTAAAAAAATATTTAATCACAAAAGGCACATTTGCACAAGAAATGGAAAAAATATTACTCATTAATCACATTTATGTTACAACACTGAATCCATTATTCTTTACAGTTTTTTTTTAGATATCATATAATTTATCAATTTATTAGATGCAAAATAAAAAATAAGGTTTTCTATTTAAATTTTTCAAATTATTTAATTTTTAACAAACTTCTAATCTTAAAATGTTATAGATTTAACGTTCATACTTTCTTTACTTTTTGTGTAATGAATTTTTAAAAAGAGTATCTTCTCCCAAGAAAATCAACTTATTTCAAAAACTAAGCAAAATTGACCAATAGAAGAATAACATTGAAATTAAAAGCTACATCAAAAAATGCCAAGAAACATAACTATGGTGTTTCATTAAAAAAAAATACAAGTTTGTATTGTAACTTATTTTTGAGGCACACTGTATAGTTAAAGAAAATTTATCAATTTCCTATAGTTTTTTATTAATTTTAACAATTACACCCCGTATATTCTGATGTGTGAAGTCCATCTCTCCCGGCTTTACCCTAATTAACGCACCAATTATTTGTTACCATCTGCTCCGCTTGCACAGTACTCTCTCAGAACACAATTAATCCGGATGAGCGTAAATAACACGACATTTCTGCTTGAAATTTCAACCGACAGCTTGCAAGTTTCATCGATCAAGTCACTGCATTTTTTATTCTACGCTTTGGATACAATTTCAAAAAAAATAAAACGCAAATTGTCATAATAAGAGACACAAATAGGTTACAAAATTTTTAGTGGACGTTTCAAATTTCAAGTTTCCTTTGTTTTTATATTCATTTTTATTCAATATTTACATTGCTTGTTTTTATTACAAGTAATAACATTCTATTTTATAAAATATGTGTTTAAGGAAATTGTTATGTACTTCCTGGAAATACTCATAAAATTTTATTTCCTAGTTCTACTATCGCCCCAGGTGCTCATATCCGATAACAAAAAATTAAAAATCGATTGTTGATATCTACAGTTTCAACATTGCCAACATCGCAAAATATTATTAACTCTCCACTGAAATTATTATTTTCGCGCTGTTATAAATCAACATCCCAACTTCAACTTGAGTTTAATTTTATGCCGAGATTTTTAAAAAATTCATTAATAACTCAATTAAAATTCAAACTCTGACAAAGTGGCCGAGAAGCATTAATCATTTTAATCAGAATATCGTCCTTTTAGTCGCGGATTTTTTCCATTCTTGCACAAAATTTACTTTGCGTTCACAATAAAAAAGTCTTTCAGCTTTCATAAGACTTCTCTTCGAAAAACTTGGTCAATACAACACGAATTGATATGTGCTCCATTCGTTTCCCCTTTCTTAATCCTCAGGACTTGTGCTACTTTGAATACTGAGGAAATTGAAGGCCTGATTTAAGTTTGTTTGAGATAAGAATTGAGAGAAAATGTAATTGGCCTAGAAGGAAACTAGACTAGAATTTTAATACGGCACTAATTAGTATCAACATCAGAAATTTAGGCAAACAGCAAATTTTTCAATGATTTTTTAGCACTCGTAATAAATAATACAAAAAATCAAAACCATGACACATAAATCACAAAAATTTTAATATCACAACACCTTTTTCAAGTCTAATTCAGAAAGCGTAAATTATATTTCAAAAAACGTTAATTGTAATTTAGATTAGTCAATTGTATTTCAGAAAGTACTAATTGTAATTCGGAACCGTAAACTGAATTTCAGAAATTCAGATTAGTTAATTGTATTTTAGAAAGTGCTAGTTGCAATTCAGAGTTTGTCATTTGTAATTGAGAATTCGTCAATTGTAATTCAGAATTCATTATTTTTATTTAAAAATTACATTACCAACATTCCTTTGAAAATAAAATATCTTATTTATTTTGCAAAATCGCAAGTTTCTGTAATTTTTTAATTCTGGAAATAAAATAATTCTGTTTATGTGTAAACTTCATTTTGAGATAACAGTAAGTTACTCATCTGAATTACAATTGATATTTTCTGGACTACATGTAACATGAAATTGAGTTTATTTACTGTTCTGAATTACATGTATAATAGTTTCTGAATTACAATTATTACTTTATGAAATACAATTGACTAATTTGAATTTCAGTTTACGCTTTCTGAAACTAAATTGACTAATCTGAATGGTTTCTGAATTACACTTTAAAAAGGTGCAGTGAAAAGTTTGACTTTTTTGGTTAAAAAAATAAAGAATTGAATTATTGCTAAAAAAATTGAAGATCCGAATTTTTTTACCTTGAAAACAATCTTTAAAAAATGTATACAAACAGAGAAATTAATAATAAATTAATAAATTTTCCTGTATCTAATTATTTGTTAAACCAACAAAACTTGACAAAAAACTAATAAAATCAATCATTTATCTGATTTTTTTCCAATAATTTGTCTCTTACAACAAAAAACAATTATGTAATAGTTATTTGTATTACAAAAAATGTACACTTTCCTCCCACACTTGGAAATTACTGTAACTACCCAGGGAGAAAAACACACTTTACTAATCGCCTAAA